TTAAAGCTGTGATCTTTTGGTTATGATCAATTACATTTGCCGAAAAAAAAGGTTATGTATTTGGATTTGATAGTAAAATTATTATAGGGATTGAAATTAATTTACAGATGTTAATGTTTCTTGTTGCAAATAATCATGAAGAAAGGTATTCATATATCATAAAATAGATATTCTCCTGATTAGCTTTTTTGAATAAATGATAATTGAGGATTCTGAATTAACTCTAGAATATATTTCATTCTAATCACTAATAATTAGTTAAAGATAATTTATTTTGATTTTTAATTTAATTTTCTGATATAAAGTTAATTATGCACCAATACTTTAAGCAGTCTCCACCTCCATTGCCAAATTATGGTTAAAATATGTATTAATTTAAAAATAGTAGTTTATGTACACTTTAATCCAATTATAATTTTCAATCAATACTAATAAATAGGAATACCTTTATACTTTTTGGTATTGTGATTTGAATATAATAACATTTTTTTAAGCTTAATTCAATAAAGATTAATGCGATTTTTACTCATTATAATAATGCAAGTATATGTAGATAGACAATATTTCCTTTAGTTTTTATCAAATATTAGAAATGGATATTTAACTGGAAGAAGTTAAAATAATACTTCTATAGCTAAATTTGTGGCCATTGGAAAGAATAATTCAATTGAACAAATCTCATGAATTACTTTACTTTTTAAATTCAAATATTAAACTTGAACAATTTTTTATTTATATGCTTATAACTTATGAAATAGAGATGAGTCTTTATCAATTACCCCTCAAGAGATAATAAGAAACTTTGGGATTAAGCCATTCCATTTTCTGAAAAAGCCCATTACAATGCCACTAATTCAAAAATACTGATAAATAGTTGGATCAAATAAAAAGATAACAGAATACTTGTAATATCTCTAATGATGTTGAGACTTGAAAATCAATGGGTTTAAACCTATTGTTGAGCTAAACTATTGATTCTACTACATGGCCATTTGAAAGTTGAATCCTGGTCTGGATTTGGCTGTAATATAATGTGAGAAAAATACTCTTAATGCATAAATAATAAATTAATCCTCCCCAAGTAATTTAATTGTACTAACTGCAAAAATTTTTACTTAATTCTTTCTATATATCTTTAGTTTTTTCCTTTTTAGTTTAATATTTTAATACCTGAAAATTAAAAAAAAAAATCATCCTTATATGTTTGTCTGCTTTTTTAGCAACTTTCTCAACATTTTGCAAACCATTTAATTCATTGAAACAAAATCCTTTTTAAGTTTCATTAAATATTAAATATAAAATATTAAATATTAAAAATTTAAATTCGATTAATTTAACTAAATTTAAGGTAAATAATTTTTAATATCAAATATATAATTCTTAGATATTATTTCTAAACTTTCTTATTTTTATCATTTTGTGCAAGGAAAGACCCTTCATTATTATGTGAAGTGATTCCATTGATTTCAGAAAATTATTACAAAGTGAACAATTCAAAATTACTTTATAATTTTCAAAAAAAAACTTCTCTGTAAATAATTTATCTTATTAAGAATTAAGATATTTTAACTTATATTACTAGAGAATTTTACAGTTTATTTACATATGTCTCAATCCAACAATATTTATGATATATTCTGATTTATAATTTAATAAGTTTGATATTA